AAGTGAAATTCCTTTTCGCTATCAAATAACCAAAGAAGCAATGATAAAAATGGGTAAGAAAAATTTATTTTTTATAGAATACCTGTACGTTTAATAATTAATTCATATACGTACAAGTATTCTATAAAAAATAAATTTTTCTTACCCAATTTTTTTCACATATAGTTTTGTGAACGAAAAAGGAAGTGTATTAATTGTAAAAAATTGTAACATTTATGCTAAAAGTATATCGTATAAGAAAAATGAAGAACTCAAATTGACAAAAACTGTCTAGTGATTTTATACATTTCATAATTTTTTTCAGCGCATCCGCAGACGGCAAACGTTACCACTCCTGTATTTAATCAGACGGACACAACTTTATTGAATTACTTCACTACTACCAAATTGGTAGACACAACGACGGTCGGTGTTTTTACAACTACAAACAGTTCGGAATTGGAATCAACGAGTCCCCCTCAGACAAGAAGTATCAGCGGAAAAAGTGAAATGACGATGAGTCACACTGGCGACAAGAGGACAACACCGTTCTCTCCGGCAAACACAAAAGAATTTTCTGTTAGTCAACTTCACGAAACTAGTTCACCCGGATTCCTAATCGGAACATTGACGCATAACAAGACTCTATCCACAGCTTTAGGTATGTAATAATGTTCATAAATATAAAATTTGTTTTCATCATTTCATTTCAAGCAAGGCAAGAAAGCCACTAACACGAAACTGGTTATTGAGTGTGAAATAATATAAGAAAAAAATTACTAAGGAGCGAGAACAATAAAAAAACAGAAATTAATAGAGAATAAAACGATTGCATTTAAATTTTTGAAGATTGTTATGGATTCCGGGTTGAAATCCGGTACCAATAAATAACAAACGCCAGGAATGAATATATGAAAATAATGTATTAACGTAATAATACAAACTGGTAAAGCAGGTTAGTAGTTCCAGGAATACGGGTTAGTAGCAAAATATATATATACAGTCTTTGGTATTGAAGTATCGCTGTATGACTTCTCACTGAGTCTACGTACTCGCTCACTGTGACTCCTATAACGCTGTTACCTCACCCTCACTCTTCCGGTTACCTACAACCTTTTACTCTGTCACTCTCGACTCGACTCGACGGTCTTGCTCGGTATTTATCGATCCACCCACGAGGATTGAATATGGCACAAGGCCGGTTTAATGTGGGTATCCCCGAGCCCGTAGGCTCGGCCAAAAATATAGCCTTTTTGAACCCGACTAGACGGGTTCAGGCCCTGTCTACCTCCCCGAACGAAACCTTGCCCTTCGGCAAAGCTTCGTCCGGGTTCCCCTCTGCTAATGCAGAGAGTTTGACAGTCGTCGCTTACAGTCAAAGACTGTATCACGACAGCTAGACTCAGAGGTCTTGCTCGCTATTTATTAACCCACCCACAAGGATTGAATATGGCACAAGGCCGGTTTTAGTGTGGGTATCCCTGAGCTCGTAGGCTCGGCCAAAAATATAGCCTTTTTAGAACTGCATTGACGGATTCAGGCCCTGTCTACCTCCCCGAACGAAACCCTGCCCTTCGGCAAAGCCTCGTCCGGGTTCCTCTCTGCTAATGCCGAGAGTTTGACAGTCGTCGTTTACAGTCAAAGATTGTATCACGACAGCTAGACTCAGAGGTCTTGCTCGGTATTTATCGATCCACCCACGAGGATTGAATATGGCACAAGGCCGGTTTAATGTGGGTATCCCCGAGCCCGTAGGCTCGGCCAAAAATATAGCCTTTTTAGAACCGCATTGACGGATTCAGGCCCTGTCTACCTCCCCGAACGAAACCTTGCCCTTCGGCAAAGCTTCGTCCGGGTTCCTCTCTGCTAATGCATAGAGTTTGACAGTCGTCGCTAACAGTCAAAGACTGTATCACGATTCAGCTAGACTCGGAGGTCTGGCTCTCTCGGGTCTTCACGTAGCCGTAGTATATGTATATACTGGGTGAGTCCATTTGTGTAAAAAGGGGAGAACCCCTCAACAAAGATCAAACTTGAGGGGAAAGCAAGAAGCCGGAAGAAGTGTTCCACAAGCAAGAAAAGAAAGTGTTAGCATATGACTTAAAGTTACATCTAGCCATTTATAAAATGATGAGATCTTGCCGTCGATCACCTAATGCGCTTGAATTTATAAAGTCTAAGTACCATAAGGGAGAGTTCATCAGAACAATTACCATGAAAGTATTTATAAAATTGACTGAAATCGAGATGCCAGGTCTTACATAGCACATTGTTCTTTGGATTTTTTTCAAGGATTTCTAAAGATATGGCAGGAAGACAAGACAAAAAATGACAGCAATATTCTAAGCCAAGACGAATGTTAGACTTGTCAATATGTAAGATAGATTCAGGCGAAAAATTGTCTTGCACCACACACAGAACTAGCTTTCATAGCATCAAACCCAAGAAATGATTCGCTATATATTTTTTAATTACTTATCAGCGGAAAACTTTACCCTGAGAAGGCGGAACCATTCCTGGCATTTAGAACTAGGCATGCTGATAGAAGACAGAAGTGTTCTCTCAGACGATTGATAGAGAGCAGTTTCGTTTTGGAGTCGTTAAAATTAACAAGCCATTCTTTGCCCCATTTAACAACAGAATGTAGGCCATTTTTGCGATTAGCTGCCAATTTGGTCTTATCAAACCGATCAAATATAATATTAACATAGGTGAAAATCGATGCATAATCAGCATCGATACTGAGTTGAGAACTGATGGGATCAGTTCGATTCTTGATGAAAATAAGGAACAAAGTAGGTGCAAGTATAGAGGGTTCATCATGTGAGGAAAAGCAGGCTGCCAAACCCCGTCAAATGTCTGCGAGATATCCAAAGCAACAACCCGAGCTTCACCATTCTCATCAAAATCTAGATGTCATCTTTCAGTAATAATCGTTTCTACATCAGGAGTTGACGTAGAGAAACGAAAGCCATATTGTTCGTATGAAACAAAACGTGCTTACCTAATTCAACATTGATTAGGACCCGTTTAAACACACACACGGGAACACCCCAAACACCATCATCATTATACTCGTAGAAAATACGAATAGCCTCATCTACATCTAAAAAAAGAATAAAAAAAATGGAAGCATTAAAAATAAAATATGAAAAGCCAGCACTGAATAATATCAACTATAAAGACGGTCAGAACGAGCTGACAGAAAATTAAACATATAAATACATTCCCATGAGTAAAGATAAACATATATAAAAATGTACATATTCAGTTAAAAATAAAGAAAAGATCCTTGATAAGAAAATAGCTGAAAGCGTTCGAATATATCGGATGATGGGGCAGTTTCTACAGATTTTATCTTTAGAAAAGGAAACATTTATACGAACACAAGAAAAATTGAATAAAAAGCTTAATGGCAGTAAGTTGTCTTTAATGAAATTTGTATAAAAGAGGGGATGTTCATCAAATACATAATTATATATATATATATATATATATATATATATATATATATATATATATATATATATATAAAAGAAATATAATGTAGTGGTACCAACGAGAGAAAAGTATGTATATTAAAAAGAAGAGAAGAGAGGTGCTGCAAACGTTTTTAGACACGAGGATATATATATATATATATATATATATATATATATATATATATATATATATATATATATATGTATAAAAGTGAACATATGCAATCGTCAACACTTGGCCTGACGATTGCATACTATAGCATGAAACAGACTGTCGCTGACGATTGCATATGTTGTTTTTATGTTCAGCCATTTTATATTTACACGCTCTATCTCTGATATTGATATTGGAACATTGACAACATTAGGTATGTAATCATCTTCATAACTATAAGATTAATGTTTTTAATCATCTCATCCCAAGCAAGGCAAGAAAGTCACTAACACACAATTGGTTACTGAGCATGAAAGAATATAAGAAAAAACATTATTAAGGGACGGAATCTATAAAAGAACATAAATTAATAGAGAATATATCAATTGACATTGCATGAAAGTATTTATAGAAGGACGGAAAATAACGATTAGTATTACATTTAAATTTTTGAAGATTAATTTTGAGGGAAAAGAAAAAATTGAAACGAATTCCACAAGCGAAAAAAGAAACTGTTAGCATAGAACTTACAGTTACATGTAGCCATTTATAAAATGATGATATCTTGCCGACGATTATGTAATGCGCTTGAATTTATAAAGTCTACGTACCATAGGAGAGAGTTCATCAGAACAATTACCATGAAAGTATTTATGAAAAAAAAAGTCACAGTGCGCTGCAGTACGACACTGTGAAAATATAAAACATTCCAAACACTACAGATAAACATGTTTAAATATCTATATATTCACTTAAGAATAAAGATCCTTGATAAATAATAATAATAATAATAATAATAATAATATTCCTTGTTAATGGCTAATAAAATAGCTGAAAACGTTCGAATATATAGGACATCAGAGTAGTTTTTACACATTTTATGTTCAGAAAAGATTGAACAAAAGGACAATTGAATAAAAAGCTTAATCGTAGTAAAATTTTAAGTGTTTTTAATGACATTTGTGTGAAAATGGGTTTGATGCCTAAATAAATATATATATATATATATATATATATATATATATATATATATATATGTGCGTGTGTGTGTGTGTGCGTGTGTGTGTGTATACATATGTGTGTGTGTTTACGTGTAAGTGAGTGTGATAAAATATAGTTTTAATGTATGTTATATTTATTGGTTAAACTTGCTCAGTTTGCGGGATAGACCGTGTGTAAATATAAGAAGTCTAGATACTGATGTCAACACCGAATGGCTACAGTCTGTTTCATTCGTGAATGCAATGATTCATATAAATAGTCGAGGCCTAATTCAGCTGACATGGCCTGAAGATTGTTTTCAATCATGAAATCTTCTGCCACTCCGGTGCTGACATCAGTTCTGTTATATATATATATGGGTGGATAGATAGATACAAATATATATGTACATATCTATCTATCAAATTATAAATCTATCAAATTATAAATCTATCTATCTATCTATCTATCTATCTATCTATCTATCTATCTATCTATAGTTGTTCAGAAAGTAATACAAGACAAGTGCAATGTTCGACTCATTTTTCCGAACAGGTTAACAACATCGAATAGCTTAACTCAACGGATCAACCGCGACGGGTAGCATCATTCTGATAGCATGTAAAGTCAAATGATTAGAGTCAATCCTTGGCATTTGGGGCGTCCAATTACTGCAGTAATGTTTGGTACTACCCGCACGTACGCGTATAGGACTCCAGGTTTATGGTCGGTCAATTTCTCCATCGTGTATTTGGGAGCCGGTAAATGTAACCCCGCGTTTTCTTTCATTCTTGTAACAATTACTTACTGACATGACCTTTACACGTACAAAGATCAATTCAACCTTATTAGAATTCTTTTCGCCCAGAAAACCGGATTCAATAGATTTAGTCGCCAGCATTACGTGTTCTCTTCGATTGCATTCTAAAATTGCACAAGAGAGCTTCTTAGAAGAAATCAAATTACTGAGATACCTCAGTGGGTGAGTAGCCATCATTATTTCTACGACAAATCCAACTGCTTAGAGATATTCTCTGATATGAGAATGAAAATGGTTACCATTTTTATTTCCTTGTTTATTAAACTGTCCCTCTCTATCAAACAGACGAAACTAAAATTCCATCTCTCGATAGTAGAAGATAAATCCTTTCTCTATCTATGAAATTACTGAAAATAAAATTCCTCCTCTCGAACAAATAACCGAAGATAAATTCCTTCTCCTCTATCAAATTACTGAAGATAAAACTCCTCCTCTCGAACAAATAACCGAAGATAAATTCTTTCTCCTCTATCAAATTACTGAAGATAAAATTCCTCCTCTCGAACAAATAACCGAAGATAAATTCCTTCTCCTCTATCAAATTACTGAAGATAAAACTCCTCCTCTCGAACAAATAACCGAAGATAAATTCATTCTCCTCTATCAAATTACTGAAGATAAAATTCCTCTTCTCTATCAAATAATCGAAAATACATTTTTCTCTTCACCATTAAGTAACATACAATAAATTTCCTCTTCTGTATAAAATAGCCGAAGAGAAATTCCTTTCCTCTGTCAAATAACCTAAGGATCTATGATAGAATCGGTTTGTAACATTTTTGGGGAGTGTTTGTTGTATAACATTTTAGGTGAGTGTATGTGGTATAACAATTTTTGTGAAAGTATGTCGTATTTCTCAAATTGACAATGAGTGTCTCGTGAATTTATGCTTTTCATAAATTTTTCAGCGCATCCGCAGACGGCAAACGTTACCAGCCCTGTGTTTAATCAAACGGACACAACTTTATCGAATTCCTTCACTACCACCAAATTTGTAGACACAACCAAGGGCGGTGATTTTACAACTACAAACAATACAGATCAGGCAACAACAAGTCCCCAGCAGACAGGAACTGTTAGCGGGAAAAGCGAAATGACGATAGGTCACACTAGCGACAACTGGACAACACCCTCCTCTCCAGCAAACACAAAGGATTTTTCTGTTAGTCAACTCCACAAAACTACTTCACCCGGATACCCAACTCGAACATTGACAACTTTAGGTATGTAATCATTTTTATAACTAAAAAATTAATTTTTCTTTAATAGTTTCACTCCTAGCAAGGCAAGAAAGCCACTAACACGCAGTTGGTTACTGAGTGCGAATGAATATCAGAAAAAAAAAACATTATTAAAGGATGAGAACAATAAAAGAACAAAAATTAAGAAGATAACGATTGACACTGCATTTAAATTTTTGAAGATCAAACTTGTCTGGAAAGCAAGAAGCCAGATTTGAGTTCCAGAAGAGAGTAGTGCGGTCATATCTGTCCATTTCAACTGTAAAATGATGAGAACTTGCTGCAAATCTGGTACTGAGCTTGAATTTATAAAGTGGAGGTACCATAGTGGTGTTTAGAATTGGCGATGCTGATGGAAGGCAAATAGGGGTCAGTTTCGTTTTGACGACGTTAAAATTAACAAGCCATTCTTTGTCCCATTTAACAACAGAATGTAGGTCATTTTTGAGATCACCTGCCAATTTGGTCTTATCGAACCGATCAAACATATTATTAAGATAGGTGTAAATCGTTGTATGGCATCAGTTCGATCGTTGATGAAAATTAGAAACAATGTAGGTCAAAGGAAAGAGGCGTTCATCTTGTGAAGAAAATCAGGCTGCCAAAACCCGTCAAATGTCTACAAGATATCCAAAGCAACAGCAGGATATTCAGTATTCTTATCTAAATTTAGATAGATTCTTTCAGTAATAAACATTAATACATCAGCAATTGACCATTGAAAAGCGAAAGCTATATTGCTTATCTGGTAGAAGACCTTAAGAAGTGAGATTCTTAACCAATTTAGAGTTGATGAGAGCCTGTAGTACTTTCTCAAATAGTAGCAGAAGACTAAAAGACCTCTAGTTAGAAGAATCAGATTCTTCGTCTATTTAAGACTGGGATTCTTTGGGTCTGCACAAAGTCAAATGGATAGAATTAAACACACTCCACAAGTGACCAATAAATAAATGTTCATAGATTTTAACCATTTTTGTTGCTTTATCAGGAAGCACGGTGGAATAATGAATTGCGGCTCGGATTCTGAAATTGGAGAGCCGTGTTCAAATTCCAATCGAGTTCATTATATTTCTTTTGTTCCTTATTACACCTGGGAAAGGTATGCATTCGTCTTTTACCCACCAGTAATGCTACGGTTGCCGTATGTGTGTTGACACTAATGGGTGGCGGCTTCTACAAAAAGTGTTTTGTATTTCTTTCATCTTATTTATCTTGCTTTTACACAAAGTTGTAATCGCCATAAGTTGTCTGAATTTCTTAGATAAAGCCTTGTCATTAATTTTTTCTGAGTATTTCTTTCATCTTCCTCTCCTGTGTGTATAAACTGACCCTTAACGTAACCGTCTACTTCGATTGGCCCCAGGCGTTGTACTTTTTACTGTAAAAAAATATTTCTTTTGCTTTTACATCAAGTAGTAATAATCTTAAATTGTCTGAAGTTCTTAGATGATACCTTGTTAATTATTAATTTTTGTCTTGAAATTCTTTCATCTTATTTCTCTTGCGTTTACACCAACTAGTAGTAATAACCTAAAATTGTCTAAATTTCTGAGATGAAGCATTGGCAATTATTATTAATTTTTGTCTCGTATTTCTTTCATCTTATTTCACTTGCTTTTATACCAATTTAGTATTAATTATTGACTAGTGATTATTTCATAATATAATATAATTAATATAAAATGTTGTTATATACAAACTTAAAATATGAAGTTTATTAGGTATGCCTTGAAGATTAATGAATAAGCATACACAGTATAATATATATATATATATATATGAGAGAGAGAGAGAGAGAGAGAGGGGGAGATAAAAAGAAAATGAGAGAGAGAGAAAGAGAGATAGAAAATTAGCTACAGTAATTAAAAACAGTAATGCGATTTTGCTAACCAGACACTTCCTCTGTAGCTGTATGACGGTTCCGTATAGGATACAGGTTCGATTCCTGTCTGAGGACACATATTTTCTATGAAATTTCTCGGACATTCAGGCCGGTAAATGTTGTTAATACTGTTTATCATAAACATACACACACATGCACACACACACGCACACATATATATATATATGTACACATATGTATACATACATACATATGTGTGTGTGTGTATATGTCTCAAGACATTCGCGTTGATTTTCACGAAACTATGCAACATTGAAATCCGAATGAGGATTGGAATAGCGAATTGCGAAATATGCTTTTCAAACGCTAAGCAAAGTAATAAGAAACAGGAAGTTTTCGTTAGCTACACAGAAAAGACTACTGAACTGTTATATAATACCAGTCAACGAATGCTGGACAAAGGTGGAGTAGAGACTTGAAGTAACAGAAATTTGGTTCTACAGAAGGATACTGAGAATCCAATGGACGGATGTAAGTAACGAGGAAGTTTTAAAGAAAAGATATTTATGATACTGACACTTAGAATCAGAAAGATAGAATTGAAATTTTCAGGGTACATAATGAGGAAAGTGTGCTTGGAGTATTTGACACACACAGGGCATAGACGGCAAGAGGGACAGAAGAAAGCGGTGTCTAATCAACCTAACGAGTTTGTGTGAATAGTTGGTAGAACAGGATTATGAAGGATAGCAAAAAGAAAAAAAAACTTAGTAAGGGTTACAACAAATAGGAAGTGGTGGAGAGCCGTGATCGCACGGATCTTGAAAGGGCACGGCACAAAGAATAAGAAAGTAATCGAGGAAGAGAGGAAGAAGAATATGAATAAAAACAAGAAGGAAAAATTGACCTATTGACCTATTTAGATCTAGTTTGGGTAGAAGAAAGAAAAAAAGTTCGTGTTGAAAGAGAAGGAAAAAAGGAGAAGTAAAAAAAAGAAGGGAAAAGAAAAGAAGGAAATAGAAAGAAAAGAGAGAGAAAAATAAAAAGATGAATAAAGCAAGGATTTTCGAAGAAGAAAAAGAGAGAAGCGAAGAGAATAAAGAATAGGAAAGAGAAGAAAAGGATGAGCATAAAAAGAATCGTCATCAGAAGAAAGAGAAGACTACAGAGGAGCGGAAGAAGAAGAAGCATGAGGAGGAGGAGAAGGAGAAGGAGTAACAGAAAATGAAAGTGGAGTACTAGTAGAAAGAGGACTGAGGGGGATAAGAAAGAGAAGAAAAATGAAGAAAACGGTTGAAGAAGAAGAAGAAGAAGAAGAAGAAGAAGAAGAAGAAGAAAAGAAGAAGTAGAAGAAAAAGAGTAACAGGAGATGAGGGAAAGGGGGAATAAAAACAGAATTGGGAAGAGGGATAAGAAAATAGACAAAACAAAGAAGTAGATGAAATAGAATTATGCGAAGTAAAGGACAGGAGAAGAAGAAGAAGAAGAAGAAGAAGAAGAAGAAGAAGAAGAAGAAGAAGAAGAAATAGGAAGAAGAAAATCAGAAAAAGAAGAAGAGAAAGAAGATAATGAGGAGAAGAGAAATGGAAAGAGGAACAGAAAAGAAGAAGAAAAAGAAGATTTAAAAGAAAAAGTAGAAGAAAGCGTAGAAGAAGAAGTAAAAAAGAAGAAAAAGTGAAGCAGAAGATGAAGAAAAAAGTAGAAGAGAAGAAGAAAAAGAAGAAGAAATAGAATCAGATGATGAAGAAAAAAGATGAGGAAGAGAAGAAGAGGATGAAGAGAAAAATGAAGAAGAAATGAGAAGAGGCGAAAACAACGAAGAAAAAAAAAAGAGTTAAAAGAAGTAGTAGGAGGAGGGGGAGGAAGTTAATAAGTTAAAGCAGGAGGGAGAAATTGTTTGTATCCACAATAATTCCCAAGCCGTATCCCCAGGAATGTATAATTAGCTGTCAGTAAGTCAGGTTGTTTTTACTTTTAATCAGCTGTCATCTAACCTTTTCTAAACTCCACCCACGAAAGAGTTCTATCTTTATATTCACTTTAACAATTTCACAGCAGGATTTTTTATCGACTGTGGGAAGTTAATATATCTGTCTTCCCAAGTAGGCGAAATTCGGTACAATGCCATTTTTAATCGTGCGAATCCACGTTTATTTGACCTTAGACAGTGTCAAAATTCCCCAGTTCCGCCAGCATCGCCTCAGTGCGCTTGGGAGGAACTGCTTGGGAAAGTAATCTCCATGAACTAGGCTTATACTTCTGTCCGTTCATCCACAACAAATGTCTAAAGATTTGGCAAATGCTACCGTGCATAAGAGCACGCATCTCATTTACTTGGACACTGAAGAATAACCGACCTTGTACCCGTCTTAACAACATAGTACTGTAATATTAAAGCTGATCTATGAGATTGATAAATAAAACGTCTTAATGGAAACAGGGTTCACGTTCCTATTTCTCAACGTGGCGTTTCTTTTCTATCTTATTACCTTCTGAACATTTTTTTTTACAGTATGGTTCACCCTGTACAAGGCCCGGGGGCCAATCGAGGTAGAGGGTTACGTTAAGGGACAGTTTATACGGATAGGAGAAGAATATAAGGGTTAACTCTAGACTTGAACAGGTTAAGATTGTAGTGATCGGCGAAATATCCTCTTGGGATTCTGTTCCACAGAACAGTCGTTCGCATGAAGAATCTGTTCGAGTGGAACTTACTTCTCACCGATGGAATAAGGAGAGAATGTCTTGCTTGCTACAATCTAAGTGGTATGGCGGATCCTAGACGTGAAGGTTAGGCCTGGCAGAACCAAGGAATGTAGTCCGACCGAGTACTTTTCGTGAAAGTAGCGATAGAGGAGTGAGGGGCTTGCCACGTCCCTCCTGTGAAAGAGAGATCGGAGGGTGGAAAATAATTCTTTTCCAACAAGGACTCGGAGACGTTTTTCAATATCAAGACTGGAAAGTGAGTACTGGGAAGCTCCCGCTCAAATATGGCAGCAGCACTCCATTATCGGCCTGATCTGGCTCTTATAGGTATTTACTTGACTCCCACAAGGTCAATTAACGTGGGAAACCAGAGTGTTTCCACTCAAAGGCCACTGGTCAAAATTGGTCATAGCATGTCCAACCTGGTCAGAGC